ACTTGCCGATCTAGGCCGGTTGATATTTATTTCTCTCTCTCTCTCTCTCTCTCTCTCTCTCTCTCTCTCTCTCTCACACACACACACACACACTTTCTAATTCTCTCTATCAATCTATCTTTCTAAATCAAAAAGGAAAAATAGAAATCGATTACACCCTGTCATTCCAGTGGGTCTAAAACTGACCGTGTGGTCAAAGAAAGGAAAGGGGTTGTTTCAATATATTGCACAAGGGTGTATGCCTGCAAAGATAAATATCTTCATTCATACAGATGTCTGTATGCTGTATGCCTATATGCTGTAGGATCCGGTCAAATGACGCTGAAAACACTGTTCCTGTTCGATGAGTGAAGTTAAGCAGTGTGGAGCCTGGTCAGTATTAACATGGGTGACCACGTAAAAAATTCCTCACTCTGATGCAGGGCCCCATTCGTTGATGTAGATGTTTTCATTGGGAGATGTCTGCAGTGGAAGATATTTTTTAAGGCATGATAAATCGACAAGTCTGACTATTTTCTACTTCTTTCCCCAGATCAAAATGGCTTCGAGGGAATGAAGCCTGTAGGTTGTAGCGAGGACCATCCTTCGTTTAACCTCATTCATTAAGTAAAAGCGCTATTATTGTTCGTGTTGAAGAACTGCGTAGCTGATTCCTTACAGAAATATTCTCTACTCGTGAAATTCTTTGTATGATTCAATTATTTTTCATTGATATTGCCTGCAATGCCTTGTCATCATACATGCAAGTGAAGAACATCTACAAATAATTATGACACGTTATCTGTCGAGGTTTTAAGACCAATACAAAGAATTATAAAGGCTGAAAGAGACATTTTCATATACGCGTTAGAATTGTCAAATTTATGATTCACAGATTCACCCAATGGTTAGAAGAAATCTTAATAGTGAATTTTAAGTTCGAACATTAAGTTATTTTTTATTTTTTTATTTTTATTTTTTTTTTTTAAAAAAGTCTTTTGTGTCTTTGTTCTTTTTAGTAAAACCCGGATGCGAGATGGACTCTTACTGAAATTGCGTCCGGTAGGAAGTTTTTCGAAATGTCAAAGCATCATCAACGATACCAAGTTCATAGCAGGAAATGACAAAAATAAAATAAAATAAAAAATAGAAGAATTAAACAAGAAGAAACGTTTATTCAGTAGAAAAACTTTGCCTCTTGTGTGGGTTTGGTCTGTAAACGACACTTTTTTGAAAAGTGTGGTTTATAAATCACTTTTATATACACTTTTCTTTAAAAGTCTGTATTCTTAGTTAAGCTGAATTTTTAAAAAAAAGAATAAAAAAAACAATTAAAAATTGCAGTCGGTAAAATGAAAACCAGAAGCCTCAAGTTCTGATATACACTCATTAAAAAATTCGAACAGAAAGTTGTTATGCAAATAATTCCGTGTTTATATACATCTTCAACAGACCATCATCAATGGAAGTAATATTTTCTACTTGTTTCTTCTTCTTCAGTGGACCGTGTCCTATCAGAAAGTTGGCTATCATGGCTCTCCACAATTTCTTGTCCTTTGTAGCTCTTAATAAATTTTATCTTTTTCTTATCTCTCCCAAACTCTGTTTCATCATCCATTTACTCAAGCTCATTTTTTTCTTCCATGTACCGTGTCCCCTCAGGATATATGCGATCATGGCTCTCCACAATTTCCTGTCCTTCATAGCTCTTTATGTCTTTCTGTTATTTCTCTAAAGCCTGTTTCACCATCCATTTACTCAAGCTCACTCTTCTTCTTCTATGTGCCATGACCCCTCAGGATATATGTGATCATGGCTCTCCACAATTTCCTCTCTATTGTAGCTCTTAATAAATTTTGTCTTTTCTTATCTTTCCTAAACCCTCTTCCACCATCCATTTATTCAAGTTCACGAAGTATGTTATACGTTGTTTTCCTCTGTCCATGTTGCCTTCAATCTGTCCTGTGAGTATCACATTTTCCAAGCCGTATTTCCTCTTTATGTTCCCTGGAAATTTTAACTGTCTCCTGCTGATATTAAGGCTAAGTATCCTTTTTGTTTCTATTTTCTCCAAAATTAACCGTTGCTCACATGTTCTGTTCATGATATTCTCACCATGCTTCTGAAAAACCATATTTCTGTTCTTGAAGTTTCTTCATCTGTGAGGAGATTTTCCATCATTCATAACACTTCAGTACTCTTTTGTTTGTTTCTAAAAAATTTCTATTTCCTAATACTTTGCTTAGTTTTTGAAGGTATGTTTCACTATCTCACTTTCCTTCACTGCCTTCTGTAGAATTTTAAATTCATTTTTCGTTTCGCCTTTGAAAGTGAAGTCTGAAGATCCAGAGAAAAATAAAATTCTCTGGTGAAATAAATTATTACAATGGAGCCTTAAAGTGGTCTGTTTTTCATTTAAATTAAATTATTCGCTCTGACTTAACATTGAGCTCTCAGGATTTCATCCTCCTTTGGGTTATACATACGGATTACCAAGATTTTCGTTACTTATATATATATATATATATATATATATATATTTTATATATATATATATATATATAGTTATACACCGGGGCTGAAATTATGAATAAACCGTCCAAACTTCATGTTCTTTTGTCTTGAATGCCAAAAGATACAAATTGTATAAATTTCAAGTTCCTATGGTAATTACTATTAATGAGAATTATCTTATTTTGAGTGCACTATTTACACTATTCGGACTATTGTCCTCATCTTTGTTGCCATATTTATCACAACGTTTCGGTTGTTCTACTCTCTGCGTGAGTTCAATACCTGGTTAAGGCAGTGGAGAGCTTGGAGAGGGGAATTAGCAGGAGATAACTAATAACTGACATGCGTTAGACATGGCACGTGGAATTAGAACAGTCTACCCCAGCGAACAAAGTAAAGGGTTCAGTTCGACATTCCAACCACCTGAAGAAGGCTGGAGCGTACAACAGCCGAAACGTTGTGATAAATATGGCAACAAAGGTGAGGACAATAGTCCGAATAGTTTGAATAATGTAAATAATACCTCATCTCAGAAATATAGACACTTATTTTGATAGATTCTGTATATTTTGTCTGTGATGCTGTCAAACTTCCTAAATTTTGATAAATCATATTAAAATGCAAATTTGCTATTATCTACCAAATCTTCCTATTATTTACTAAAATTTGTTTGAAATTACTTGTTGCATTTTGATTGTTGTTGTGAGATTATCAATATGTGAACGAATTTCGACAAGTGACAAATCAACCTACGATCGAATGTAGTACATGTGCGGCCAATGTAAAAAAATTATTGTTCTTTTATTATTGGCATTGAACTGAAAAGAATCCGCTCTATTTAAAAAAAAAAACAGTACTATCGTTTAGAAATTCTCAAGTCAATTGTGAGATTGTGTCATAAATACTAATAATCGGAAAACGATATTAAATTCTTATATTGGCTACACATACACCATGTTCTTTAGTTGGTTGATTTGTCACTTATCGAAACTTCACATATTGAAAATCATATCACTACCAACCAAAATACAACTATTAACTTCAGATAAATTTTAGTAGATTATAGCAAAATATTATACAACTTTTATTTCAAATTATTTTTTATGACTTTATACCAAGAAATAATAGTCCCGATTTAGTTGAATTTCTTCGATGACACTATTTACATTATTCGGACTATTGTCATCATCTTTTTCACCATATTTATTAGAACGTTTCGGCCGTTGTACGCTCCGGCCTTCTTCAGGTGGTTGGAATGTCGAACTGAACCCTTTATTTCGCTCACTGCGGTAGACTGTTCTAGTTCAACGTGCCATGTTTAATGGATGTCAATTATCAGTTATCTCTTGTTAATTTCCCTTTCCAAATTCTCCACTGCCTTAACCGGGTATTGAACTCACACTCTTTGGGTCCTGTCAATGGATCTAACCAACGCCTTTATCCACTGTGCCATGTGTCCTTGATGACGCCTTGTAAACTGTATTATACCGTACCTATGAACACTAATGGGCTTGTCCCAATCCTCATAAATACGTTGGACACTATTGTAAGTGGTGGTAGCAGTGGTTTACCTACTTCACGCCGCTGGCGAGTATTGTATTTTGTTGATGTTATAAAGATTACCATTTCATTTCCAAGCTCCGTTTTAGCTATTCCTCATTCAATAACATTTTCTCGGTTACAATATAAACCATTATACATTTTTGTCTAGCCTTTCTTTCATATTATTTCTTTTATACCAAGTAGTAAACATTTTAGATGAATTTTTAAATGGAGCAATACTCGTATTTTTTTATTATATTTCTTTTACACTTTTAAGTGTCTATGTTTATGGACATTATTTAAATGAAATCTTCTTATTAATAGTCGCCTACTATACCTTTCTTTTCTTAAGAGAAGCGTGTTTCTGGAGTTAACCCGTTGCTGAGAAAGGTCCACATTCACACACCAACGGCAACGATCAATGGGTACCTAGATTTAAAAAAAATGAAATACTTACTTCCAGGCCCTGATAGTGAATCCCACTTGGAAACTGATCCAATATAAGTATCCTATCTTTGTTTCTTTTCATTTGACTTTGGGCTATACTAAACCCGGTTTTATAAAATTAGAACAAAATCAAGTTCCCAGTTTCGAATCGTATGGCCATCTATTCGCGTCTACAATAAAGTCTTTTTAAGGCAGATAACTCTGATTGACTTATTCTTCCTCATTCGAACAGATTGTAATGTTTCTCCTGTGAATGAATTCTTCACGTTCATTTTCAAAGGCGTTTAACTTTAAAAATAAAGTTTAACAGCATGAGACCGGCTATAAAAGAATGATATTTTGTTCTTTATGCAAACATTTCATTGTTGATCGTAAGAAGTGCCTAGATGCCAAACCAATAATAATAAGATTTAATTGAGATCTGAAAGATCGAAAGCAGAAATTTGAGGTGTTCAATTCCAGACACCACCCTCCAAGTAGTATCTCTACGATTGGACTGAAAGAATAATGGTCAATCCCTGATGTCTGAGGCACAACAATAGAAAAGTGCCCAGGAGGCTAGAAAATGCTGTCACCAATCCCATGGATGCGTTGGTTTGCTACTTTAAATATAACTTTCAGCTATATTCAATTGGGCACAAATA